TTGACCGTCACAAAATCCTTTTGAGAGATGAACACTCATGTTGAATTAACTGAACATAGGGTTGGAGAACATCATGAAGAATGGGTGGGCACCAAATATTTTTGAGCCTTAAAATCTTTTTTTCTAAAAAACCATGAACCAGGCCACGTTACAACCTTCAAAAGTCCTAATTGAAGCAAGGTTATTTTGAAAGCATACTTCCATGAGATAGTGTTCCTGACTCCCATGAACGTTCTAAATAATTATGTTGGTATCATATGTCTTTCCTATACAAAAATAAATGGTGCTCTAACTCGCAAAATTTGTGCAATATCTTTTCAAAATCTTCAAGACTTACATAACTGTTGCATTAGAATTTTCATTCTCATGATAAACTTTTCTAACTACAAAACATTTGTTTGATATCAAGGAAGCTCACATAAGCACCAGTGATGAGTTTATTCTTTTAAGGCCTTAAACTATGTTGAGTAATAGGCTAATCATTTCAAGAAAATCATATCCAGAGGCATGTCACCTAAAGACCTTGAACATGGACATGTTGCTTCTCCCAGTTAATGCTTTCCCAACTTGTTTACCCTTTGGGGCAAAATTCGAAGACTTTGTTATGCCGACTACAGTCAATCCGGGATAATCACGTCGAGATTTATTGAATCTCTCTAAGAGTTTGAAGACACCAGAGCATGGTGAACGCCAGGTCTTTTGTAAAATCCTCTTGAGATTATTTCTCCTCACCAACCATATAGCTTGGGGAATTTTAGAAGTGAAGTTATTCGCAAGAATCGTCACGCAGCTTATCAGCAGTAAACTTGGGGCATCCAAAATTGGTCCCAGGGGCAATCTAGATTTGTCAAGATATGTGATATGCATTGCACACATTATCAGAGGGTGGTGTTCCCAATATCTCCAGCTAAGCAAGACTTCTTTCCAGCTGAAACTTTGTTTGTGTTTGTTATCCTTTCAATGAATTGTCGACAATAGAAGATTAGACTTTGGGTTTTCTACCTGAAAATATCTTCCTCTCCAAAGAGATTTAAGCCTTGTAAAAGGACTTTTCTCCAATGATGGCTTTTGTTTTCTATCTCCAGTAATGTTACCATCCTGTTGAGATTAGCCGAGTGTCGAGTTGTACTGTGATGTCTTATCATCTTCAGTCTATCTCCCCTGTCTGTTTTGTCAGCATATATATGACATTCATTCATTCGTTCATACTTGCATCATGCACGCACATTTGTATTTGTTGATATCTTTGAGTTTGTATGCCTTGGTTATGTCTATTCAAATAGCATATTTGATCTTTCCAAATAGAGTGTCAACTTAAGCAGAAAGTGCGCCTCTTTTCTAATTCCCCACTGAGTTAACTCTCGTGGAAGAATCTTGCTTTAGCTTTCCTTTTCCATTTCTGGATAGGATAAATCCCCATTTGAGTTATTTCCTCATTGGGTGGAGTCTTGTTTGACTGTTTTCTCTCCAGTTTATTCCTGGATTGAGCTGTGTCTCTGGTGAACGATACCCTGTGAATATCTCTAGGCTGTGAAACCTAGATGGAAAGTGCATTTATTTTGCAATGTAAATACTTGGTCTCCTCAAGAAGGATTTATTCATGGTCCCCCATTGAAGATGAACTTTATTCCCCAGCAGTGTTATCATAACATTCTTCTGGAATATCGACATGACAACAAGCGACTGACTCTTTATTTGAGTAGTTTGATTATTTTTGATTTCTCTACGACAAATGGCGGTCTCTTCATGAGCAGTTTGTCCATCCTCGATGAAATTATTGATTCTCACCTCCAGCAATATCTTCATGATATTTTATGGGTATCTTTTTGGCAAACAGCAAGCGGCAGTCTCTTCATGAGGCAACTTTTGTGTTATGGATACTCTTGAGAAACAGCAAGCGGCAGTCTCTTCATGAGGCAACTTGTGTGTTATGGATACTCTTGAGAAACAGCAAGCGGCAGTCTCTTCATGAGGCAACTTGTGTGTTATGGATACTCTTGACAAACAGCAAGCGGCAGTCTCTTCATGGACAACTTGTATGTTATCAACACTTTTTGAAAACGGCAAGTGGCGGTCTCTTCATGAGCAGCTTGTACGGAAAATAGCAAGCGGCAGTCTCTTCATGGACAACTTGTATGTTATCAACACTTTTTGAAAACGGCAAGTGGCGGTCTCTTCATGAGCAGATTGTACGGAAAGCGGCAAATGGCAGCTTCTTCATGAGCAGCTTGTACGTTAGTATTTTTGGAAGACAGCAAGTGGCAGCTCTTCATGAGCAGCTTGTGAGTTATTGGCAACAAGTGGCGGACTCTTCATGAGTAGCTTGTGTATTTTAATATTCTTTGAAGACAGCAAGTGGCAGCTCTTCATGAGCAGCTTGTGGGTTATTGGCAACAAGTGGCGGACTCTTCATGAGTAGCTTGTGTGTTTTAATATTCTTTGAAGACAGCAAGTGGCAGCTCTTCATGAGAAGCTTGTGGGTTTTTGGCAACAAGTGGCGGACTCTTCATGAGTAGCTTGTGTGCTTTGATATTCTTTGAAGACAGCAAGTGGTAGCTCTTCATGAGTAGCTTGTGGGTTATAAGTAGCAAGTGGCGGCCCCGGTATTTGAACAACTTGTGTGTTATTGATACCTTTGAAAACAACAAGCGGCGGTCTCTTCATGAGCAACTTGTGTGTTAGTGGTAATTTTGAAAGGAAACAACAAGCGGCGGTCTCTTCATGAGCAGCTTGTATGTTATTGACACCTTTGAAAGGAAGCAAGTGGCGACCTCTTTATCTGAGTAGCTTGTGTATCCCCAACAATAATGTCTACTCAGCACATGACATCCCTTTGGAAAAGTCCCGTGGAGAAGTTTGTTATTTTATCCTTTTCAAGCGATATCTTGGTTAAAGAAGAAATGTGTTACCGTTCTTGGTAAAATTCAGAAATCAGAGATGTTTTTTTCCAGTCACAGTGTTGATGTCAATCATTTTTGTTTTCCAGCCACAGTGCTGATGTCAATCATTTTCCAGTCTCAGTACTGATGTCCATCATTTCCTTTTCCAATCACAGTGCTGATGTCAATCATTTTTTGTTTTCCAGTCTCAGTGCTGATGTCAATCATTTTCCAGTCTCAGTACTGATGTCAATCATATGCTTTTCCAGTCTCAGTACTGATGTAAATCATTTCTTTTCCAGTATCAAGACTGATGTAAATCATTCAAGAGTCTCTCATTTGAAGTCTATGACTTTGTTTCCCCAGTGGAGTTATAATCTCTTCCCCAGTGGGATTACTGTATAATGTGCTTGGTTTCTCCAGCAGTAGTTTGCCTCATACGGAATCCTTCCTCATTAAATTCAAAATGTTACATTCATATCAGATCATAAACATAATTGCGGTATCTTATGGCCAAAAATTATGTATTCTATATTTAAGTCCCTTCGATCTCGTCGAAATGAAGATTCCAATCTTCATATCTCCGGATAGAAGAAACTTAAATAGGGGCATCTGTCATACCCTAATTTTTGACCTAAGATCCCGCATTCCATCCGCATCATTGCATGGCAAGAGTTCACAAGCAATTCGACCTATTTTTGCCAATTCCCGAGTCAGATTTCAAAAATTCATAACTTCTTCAAATTTCAATATTTTGAGGGGTTATTTTTTGCATATGATTTTTCTTGACACCATCTACAATTTTTCTTTACAAGACAAGAGATGATTATGCATTGAAAAGCCACGAAAAAGTTATTAACGTTCGAAGTTGTTTCACGAATTTAATGGAATTTGATTCTTAATTTTGGACTATGTTTTATCCGACCATCAATTTTACACTTTCTCTTCTTTTATTTTTAATTCCATGAAAAAATCCTAAAAAAAATATATTTAGTTCATGTCATCTTAATTTTTATTTACATTATTATTCAAAATATCAAAAAAAAGTAGTCTCTTCAAGTTTCATTTAGATTTTTATTCTTAAGTCAAAATTATAGTCTTCTAGATTTAATTTAGTAAAAATCTCAACAAAAAAAAACATGTCTTAGCATTATTTTATTTTTAGCATTTCACTTTAATCACAAAAATATATAGTTGATATCTTTTCCTTTTAATTCTTTTAGTTATTATAATTTTCATTTCTTTCTTTCAATATTAATCTTGATTTGGTTCTAATTTTAATTCAACTTTTTAGTTGAGTTATTATTAAAATTAAAATTAATTTTAATTTCTCTTTAATTTTCATGTTTTGGAAATTTTTAGTTTAATATTTTTTATTTTTATTTTTTGTTATTATTATTGTTATTATTATTATTATGCTATTCCTCTCCTTGTAAAAAATGTCCAAACAATAAAATCAGTCCAAAACCATGCTATTGTCCCTATCCTAACTTTCCATAAAACCCAAACATGCTACACAACAAAACTTGCTGCTACTTCACTCCAAAAACCTGCATAAAAACCAGTCTGCAAACAACCTTTTTACTACCTTTGCTGTCCAAAAAGCTTGCCCAAAAATGAAATCACAAATCCCTGCATCAAGAAAGCATAAGGAAGTTGACATAAACTAGAATTCAACTGATATTTGGCTCCAATTTTCCCTCCAATTCTATCATACACTCACAATAAAAACATAAGCAAATGGTGAAGAGTTGAGGGAGGTTGTCACCTAATTCCTGCAATAGCAGTAGGAGAAAAAACAAAAGAATACAACAACACCCTTTCACAACAACGTAACCTCACCTCACAACCTCCCTTCACCCTCTGTTTCTATTTCCAAACAACCGTCTCTCTCTCAACCTTCTATTCCTCCACCTCTGTCAACCTTCACAGTATCCACCACATCTCCACTTATTCTTTTTGCTCACAAAGACCACCATCATCACCATAACCACACTGAGCTTCCACCCACCGCCTCCTCCGTTCCAATACTCTTCCCTTGTTCCGCTCTTCTATGGGAACCACCCTTCATCTCACTCTGCTGAACAACAGTCGGAACATCTACCCACCATCCCTTTTGTTATGCCCGCCTTCCACCCTTTGAATCCGGCCGGAACACCCGAAGTAACACTTGCAGTTTTGGCCAGCTCAACACAAACACTGTCACCAAACCGAGTTAATTTCCTACACACACTATTTATCAAAAGTAACACCAAACACAAACAAATTTGCTCTCTTTCTCTCCATGGACTTTCATATGAAACAATGGAGAAACCAGCATGAGTCAGAAGAGCATCAACATTCTACAAAAGATGCCAAAACTTGCGCTTCAGCCTGCAGATTCTCATCATCAACCATTTCACCATCCAAAACTCACTCAGACACGACCCTTTCCATCTCTCTTCCGGTTCTGCATAAAACCCAACTACCGTTCTGCCATCAATTACTACCTTACGCATAAAAGACAAGCCATCAACATCTTCACCTCTTCACTGTTCCGCAGCTACAACATATTTCATATATTCTTAACCAACAAGAATAATACAACGACATCCTGTAACAACTTCAGCATCCTTGTTTTGATAATTTTTCTTTTCGCCTGAGTGGGTTTCTAAAGAAAAGCAGTTAGTATGTAAATAACTATACCATGATCACAAGGCAGCACCATGTACGTATCTAGATGTTAGATGTGCTGGAAAGAGAAAGCAGCACTCTTTAGTACCCTCGTTTCACAGTCCACAAAACAAAGTTCTTCAAAACCGCAACCGTAACCACCTAATGCATCAGCTCCACCTCTTCAGAAGATTAAAAGAATCGAACCATCCATATCCATATCACCTAGTCCTAGTCCAAGCACCAAATCGTTAACTCCACCGTATAAGGTTGTTCCAGCACCATCAACTGCTGAAAGGAATTTTCCACCATCCATACATCCAATTCCACCTCAAAGGAAAGCACCTACTTTTAGTCCTCTCATATCCTCACCAATTGCTCCAGCTCTTGTTACAATACCTCCTGAAATTTTGCCTAAAACTTCACCTATTAGTCAACCAATCGAACATGGCAGTTTGCCTCCTAAGGTTGATAAGAGGAATGAAAGTAAGAGTCACAATTTAGAACCAGTTTCACCAGGTCCTTTTGTACAACCTCCAGTTGCATTACCACCGCTTACTCGACTCCATAACCAATGATGCTCTCAGAAGCATTTCATCAAACACCATCAACGCACCCCTCAAAGTCTACTGCGGGTTCGACCCTACTGCCGAGAGCTTGCACTTGGGCAACCTTTTGGGTCTCATTGTTCTATCTTGGTTCCGTCGTTCGGGACATAATGTTGTTGCTGTGATCGGCGGGGCCACCGCGCGTGTCGGCGACCCATCTGGGAAAAGCTTTGAAAGACCAGAGCTTGATGTTGAAACTTTGGAAAGGAACACTGCAGGTATTGAAAACACCATTAAAACAATCTTGGGTCGTGCTAAAAATCCTAACTTTGAAGATTCGAATGTGAATGGTAATGATTCTTCTGTTGTGGTTTTGAATAATTATGATTGGTGGAAAGAGTCTAGTTTCTTGGATTTTTCTGAAAAGGGTTGGGAAGTATGCTAGAGTAGGTTCAAGGATGGCTAAGGAGAGTGTTAAGAAGAGAATGAGGGTGTTAATGTTCAAATTGGGGGGCAGTGATCAATGGGGCGCCGCTGCTGGTTTTTGAGGTTGGTCTAAAATTTATATTTGTTTATTATCAATAACACTCATTTAAAATTAGGTTAATATCATTATGTTGAGTTTGGGCCTAAAGGGCCAATGACATGCTTATACACACCCTTCTATTTCTTTATACTTTTAGATATTTAGGTTAATGCAATTAAATTCCTTTTCATTAGTTATAAAAAATAAAAAAATACATTAGTAAATCTTATAATTAATTTAGTTTAATATTAATTTAGAATTCTTTAATTAGTTTAGATTTATTTTATAACTTTAGAATTTTATTTGATTTTATTTAAGTTAAATTTAGAATTTTATTTGTTTAGTTTTAGTTTAATAACTTTAGAATTTTATTTGATTTAGATTTAGTCTAGTAACTTTGAAAATTTCATTTGTTTTAGATTTAATTTAGTAACCTTAGGATTTTAATTTAATCTAGATTTACCTTACTAAATTTTAAAGCCTTAGTTTAGTTTAGATCAAATTCAATAATACTAGATTTTTTATAACCTTAGAATTTGTAATTAGTTTAGAATTATTTTAGTAAATAATTTTTAATTTAGTTCGAATAACTTCTTTAGATAATTAGTTATATTCCTTTTTATTTGTATATTTCTGTCATTTCAATTTCTCGGTGCCTCTTGATCATTAATTTGTTTTTGTCAGATTTAATTTCTTGTGAACTTCTGAATGTTTATATTTTGATGATTCATTTTATTGTGCTTATTCCAAGGGAAATGATTCAACTCAGTTGACTTCATGTCATCAAATATGTCTTCCACAATCGTGCGAATAGCCTCATTCATTTTTTTGCTTGTTTACTATTTTTCCAAACTTAAGATAATTTTCCCAAAAGACCCTATTTTCAAACTCACACCTTTTAAGTCAAAACTTCGATACTAGGTCGTCGTATCTTTAAAAATCTCTCCAACACCGATTTTTTAGCCAAACGAACCATTTTAATCAAACAAACAATTTTAACCAAAAAAACAGATATTTCAAAAGGTTCCTGCGGAGTACCGCAGATGCATTGGGTGCTAATACCTTCCCACTGTATAACCAACCCCCGAACTCTCGATCTCTTTCAAAAACGCATTGTATTTATTACTTTTAAGTATTATTATACATTGCATATTTTAGGGTTTTATTTCGCTCTTTTCCCTTTTCCCTTGGAAATAATAAAGAGCGGTGGCGACTCTTGCTTTTTGTGAGTCAAGTTAATTAATAGCTTGATCTCCGATTTTCACCGCTACACTTCCATAATGAAAAGGATACCATCCATTAGAGTAATAAAGATATCGAAAACATACTACCTTCCATAATAACAAGGCTATCATCCATTTGAGTAACAAAAATATCGACAACTGACTACCTACCATAATGACAATGCTACCATCCATTGGAGTAACAAAAATATCGACAATAGACTACCTTCCATAATGACAAGGCTACAATCCATTGGAGTAACAAAAATCTCGACAACATACTACCTTCCATAATGACAAGGCTACCATCCATTGGAGTAACAAAAATATAGACAACAGACTACCTACCATAATGACAAAGCTACCATCCATTGGAATAACAAAAATCTCGACGACAAACTACGTTCCATAATGACAAAGCTACCATCCATTGGAGTAATAAAAATATTGACAACAGAATACCTTCCATATGACAAGGCTATCATCCATTTGAGAAACAAAAATATCGACAACTGACTACCTACCATAATGACTATGCTACCATCCATTGGAATAAAAAAAATCTCGAAAACAGACTACCTTCCACAATGACAAGGCTACCATCCATTGGAGTAACAAAAATATCAACAACAGACTACCTTCCATAATGACAAGGCAACAATCTATTGGAGTAACAAAAATCTCGACAACCTATTACCTTCCATAATCACAAGGCTACCATCCATAATGACAAGGCTACCATCCATTGGAGTAACAAAAATATCGACAACTCACTACCTACCATAAAGACAATGCTACCATCCATTGGAATAACAAAAATCTCGACAACAAACTACCTTCCATAATGACAAGGCTACCATCTATTAGAGTAAAAAAAATATTGAGAACAAACTACCTTTCATAATGACAAGGCTACCATCCATTGGAATAACAAAAATCTCAAAAACATACTACCTTCCATAATGACAAGGCTACCTTCCATTGGAGTAACAAAGATATCGACAACATACTACCTTCCATAATGACAAGGCTACCATCCATTTGAGTAACAAAATTCTCGACAACAAACTTCTTTCTATAATAACAAGGCTACCATCCATTGGAGTAACAAAAAATCGAAAACAAAGTACCTTCCATAATGACAAGGCTGCCATCCATTGGAGTAATAGAAATCTCAATGACAGACTACCTTCCATAATGACAAGGCTACCATCCAATGGAGTAACAAAAATCTCGACAACAGACTACCTTCCATAATGACAAGGCTACCATCCATTGGAGTAACAAAAATGTCGACAACAAACTACCTTCCATAATGAAAAGGATACCATCCATTAGAGTAACAAAGATATCGACAACATACTACCTTCCATAATAACAAGGCTATCATCCATTTGAGTAACAAAAATATCGACAACTGACTACCTTCCATAATGACAATGCTACAATCCATTGGAGTAACAAAAATATCGACAATAGACTACCTTCTATAATGACAAGGCTACAATCCATTGGAGTAACAAAAATCTTGACCATAGACTACCTTCTATAATGACAAGGCTACCACCCATTGGAGTAACAAAAATATCGACAATAGACTACCTTCCATAATGACAATGCTACCATCCATTGGAATAACAAAGATCTCGACAACATACTACCTTCCACAATGACAAGGCTACCATCCATTGGAGTAACAAAAATATCAACACCAGACTACCTTCCATAATGACAATGCTACAATCCATTGGAGTAACAAAAATATCGACAACAGACTACCTTCCAAAATGACAAGGCTACCATCCATAATGACAAGGCTACCTTCCATTGGAGTAACAAAGATATCGACAACATACTACCTTCCATAATGACAAGGCTACCATCCATTTGAGTATCAAAATTCTCTACAATAGACTACCTTCTATAATAATAAGGCTACCATCCATTGGAGTAACAAAAATATCGAAAACAAAGTAACTTCCATAATGACAAGGCTACCATCCATTGGAGTAATAGAAATCTCAATGACAGACTACCTTCCATAATGACAAGGCTACCATCCAATGGAGTAACAAAAATCTCGACAACAGACTACCTTCCATAATGACAAGGCTACCATCCATTGGAGTAACAAAAATGTCGCAACAAACTACCTTCCATAATGAAAAGGCTACCATCCATTAGAGTAACAAAGATATAGACAACATACTACCTTCCATAATAACAAGGCTATCATCCATTTGAGTAACAAAAATATCGACAACTGACTACCTACCATAATGACAATGCTACCATCCATTGGAGTAACAAAAATCTCGACAACCTACTACCTTCCATAATGACAAGGCTACCATCCATTGCAGTAACAAAAATATAGACAACAGACTACCTACCATAATGACAAAGCTACCATCCATTGGAATAACAAAAATCTCGACAACAGACTACCTTCCATAATGACAAAGCTACCATCCATTGGAGTAATAAAAATATTGACAACAGAATACCTTCCATATAACAAGGCTATCATCCATTTGAGTAACAAAAATATCGACAACTGACTACCTACCATAATGACTATGCTACCATCCATTGGAATAAAAAAAATCTCGAAAACAGACTACCTTCCACAATGACAAGGCTACCATCCATTGGAGTAACAAAAATATCAACAACAGACTACCTTCCATAATGACAAGGTTACAATCTATTGGAGTAACAATAATCTCGACAACATACTACCTTCCATAATGACAAGGCTACGTTCCATAATGACAAGGCTACCATCCATTGGAGTAACAAAAATATCGACAACTCACTACCTACCATAAAGACAATGGTACCATCCATTGGAATAACAAAAATCTCGACAACAAACTACCTTACATAATGACAAGGCTACCATCTATTAGAGTAAAAAAAATATTGACAACATAATACCTTCCATAATGACAAGGCTACCATCCATTGGAATAACAAAAATCTCAAAAACATACTACCTTCCATAATGACAAGGCTACCTTCCATTGGAGTAACAAAGATATCGACAACATACTACCTTCCATAAAGACAAGGCTACCATACATTTGAGTAACAAAATTCTCGACAACAGACTTCCTTCTATAATAACAAGGTTACCATCCATTGGAGTAACAAAAATATCGAAAACAAAGTACCTTCCATAATGACAAGGCTGCCATCCATTGTAGTAATAGAAATCTCAATGACAGACTACCTTCCATAATGACAAGGCTACCATCCAATGGGGTAACCAAAATCTCGACAACAAACTACTTTCCATAATGACAAGGCTACCATCCATTGGAGTAACAAAAATGTCGACAACAAACTACCTTCCATAATGAAAAGGCTACCATCCATTAGAGTAACAAAGATATCGACAACATACTACCTTCCATAATAACAAGGCTATCATCCATTTGAGTAACAAAAATATCGACAACTGACTACCTACCATAATGACAATGCTACCATCCATTGGAGTAACAAAAATATCGACAATAGACTACCTTCCATAATGACAAGGCTACAATCCATTGGAGTAACAAAAATCTCGACAACATACTACCTTCCATAATGATAAGGCTACCATCCATTGGAGTAACAAAAATATAGACAACAGACTACCTACCATAATGACAAAGCTACCATCCATTGGAATAACAAAAATCTCGA